TCCTGTTATTCCGCCCAATTCTCCCCTACCCATTCACGTCACTGTCCTGCGTTGTTTAATCAGCATCTTTGAGTCACTGCGATATTTAAACAAGGAGACGCTTATACGAAATAACTCAGTTCATATCAATGACAATAAACCTTGGGTTGAATGCACTGGAATGCCAAGAGTTGACTCTTGAGGACATTGGTCAACATGGGACTGACCAGTGGCGGCTTCAGTGACGTCAATACCTCCATTGAATACGATGAGTCTTCAAGACTTGCATTATTGTGTCTAGTAAGAAAGTGTGTTCTAATATACCCTGGCTGGTGCAAATTTGTTTATTTTCGTAATTATCTTGGCAAATATTTGATTCGAGCTCGATACAATATGGTTCTGGCATGCCCAGTGGTAGCAACACAAATATGGCGTGGCTGACGTCACAGCCGAGAGACATGCATTTTGAGATATTACACGTAAACTGAAGTAAACTGACTAGGGGTCCAATGTATTTTTTTAAGAAAACAAAATTGATGACATAACGGAGGATGGTCTCAGGCACAAGTTAAGTTTTCAGATTGCTGGATGTGCTTCCGAATCGCTGGTATATTAGACTGACGCTTTGTCTTTAAATGTACATGTATGTACATATAATTTTGACAGAAATATTAATTCCATTTGATTTCGAAATGAGCCTCACTGAGATGGGGAATCCTGTAACGTGTCCACATGCTTTATTTAGGGCTTTTGTATTGCAGAAAGTTGGGCGAAGTGCCAATAAGGTGGTTCGAGGACTGCGAGACACGTACTACCGGCACGCGACAGGTAAGGCAATGAAATAACACCCTGGGACTGCGCCCGCTGGTCAGTTCGCGCAGACCTCTGGTCACCACGCAAACTGGACGAACGTTTCACACGAGAAACGCATTGGACGATCTGGGTGAACTGTTTGAAATGTCGACGCTGACTCAATTTGGGTACAATGTGCTGCATGTCAAGAACTGGTGTATTATATTCCTTGCCGAATAGCAAGTTCAAGCACAGTCACTGAAGACGTGATAGGAAAATGAAACTTTATCATGTTTTTTTCTTATATTTATTTTTATTTACTGCCTGCGGGTTTGTTTGAGAGGTGTTATTCAGTAACCTAAACGAGATTAGTTACATACCTAATGTAATTTAGCGTCAGGTTTATTGATAAATACAAACTGTACTCTGCATGTTCTTAAGTAAATGAATATTTGCGTCACAAAAATGTGTTGCGTCCTAAGGTCCAGGAACCTATATTGGCTACGGAAACATTATCACCCTGGCCATTTCTCTGAGCGCGTGTGTTTAATTGCCCGTGAGCTGGTATCACCAAAGTGGTTTCAACCATCTTAGACCTGCACTGCGTAGCGTATCACTCATGTACTGTTTGTTCGTTTGGCTGCAGGGGCGGTGGGGGTAGCCTAGTGGTTAAAGCATTGGCTCGTCACGACGAAGACCCGGGTTCGAATCCCCCCATTGGTACACTGTGTGAAGCCCATTTCCGGTGTCCCCCGCCGTGATATTTCTGGAATATTGCTAAAAGCGGCGTAAAACTAAACTCAGTCAGTCAGTCAGTCGTTTGGCTGCAGGTTGTATGATGTAAGAATAAGCCTTGACCTACCTACACAGAAAACGTCATGCCACTAGGCTCTGATATCATATTACTGCCGTGAAATACTGTTCAAAGTAGCTTTAAAACAATCGCATTTACTGGGAAAGAATTAAAGAGATTGTTTAAAAGCCGATCTGTTTTACCAAGAGAGTTATTTAAATGGACTCATAAATGAATGGATAATTTTTATGCAGTTCTTGTTACATTAAGACAGTTACTGTATTGTAAAAGCTGGGATTTCGAAGTAAATACAGAAACAAAAATATATACAACCTGAACTCTAGCTGACATCTAAAAGTTTGCATTGCTCAGAATTTCAAAAGTGCTATGCACTTTGTAACACATAAGCTTTAAGCCCATATGCGTGCCATATCCCACTTATTCGAGGACCCCAGTCGTAATCTCACCTTCTATTGTGTTCTCGCTGGCCTTTCCTGGACACAAATGTCATGCCCCCTTGGCCTTATGTCCAACAACAACACAATTACGTGTAATCAACAACGTGTTATTCATACCACGGAGTGAATAAAACTTGGTATTTGTGTAAGATGTATTGTGTTGAGATCATAAACAGCTGCCAGAGGGAACACGTGCAACCAAGTGTTGGTGCTGTCGCACATGGCTGGTGAAGGTATATTTTACGGCACTTCACATTCTTCATAGGGTTCTTGTCCATTTCGCTGGCGATTTCGTCATTTGAGTTGAAGAACTATGTTGCCATGAATAATATTCAATATTAAAATCCCCATTATGATTACTGATGTTACGGTACTATTAAAAAATGCTTGTAGTTTTGATAATATTTTGCCATTATTGAAGTTTGTGCGGTCGTTTCACTGTGTGGTCAATATTGTCGGCGGTGGGGTAGCCTAGTGGTTAAAGCGTTCGCTCATCACTCCGAAGATTGGGGTTCGATTCCCCTCATGAGTACAATGTGTGAAACCCATTTCTGGTAACCCCCGCTGTGATATTGCTAAATGCGGCGTAAAACCATTCACTCCTTGTCAATTAAACACTGCCATCGTGGTGTATGTATATGTGGTTTTTTATGTTCATGAGGTCATAACTCGAGCATCCCCTTCAATGTGTTCAAATTGCTACAATATTGCGTAGATCAATGTTCATGACATCAGGGCGGTGGGGTAGCTTAGTGGTTAAAGCGTTGGCTCGTCACGCCGAAGACCCGGGTTCGATTCCCCACATGGGCACAATGTGTGAAGCCCATTTCTGGTGTCCCCCGCCGTGATATTGCTGGAATATTGCTAAAAGCGGCGTAACACTAAACTCAGTCAGTCAGTCAGTCATGACATCAACTACAGGCTTGGATCCAGACTCAATTATTTTCGAAACTCTCTCTGGTGGCTGGAACAATGCTGCAAGCGACGTTAACAAACAAACATACAAAATACAAAATAGATGGAGGGAGTATGATGGTGCACTTATAAACAATACAAGGTGCTGCAGAAATGGTCTTACCTTCGGTAAAATAGCCGTGAACATCCGGGTTAGAATTGGTTTTCAGTAACCCTTGCACAGACTGACTGACTGAGTATAGTTTTACGCCGTTTTAAGCAATATTCCAGCAATATCACGGCGGGGGACACCACAAATGGGGTTCACAAATTGTACCCATGTGGGGAATCGAACCCGGCACTTCGGCGTGATGAGCGAACGCTTTAACCACTAGGCTACCCTACCGCCCCTTGTCGTAGGAGCAGGCTAACTTGATGGGGTGGTCAGGCTTGCTGGCTTGGTTGACACATGTCATCGTTTCCCAACTGCGAAGATCGTTGCCGATACTGTCAATCAGAGTATTGTCTGATATAGATCCGATTATTTACAAACTGCCGTCATATAGCGTTCAACAACAAACAAACCATTGGGAAACAATTTGCGCCTGGTAGAAAACAGTAACCATTTGACTCGTATCCTTGAAAATATCGCGAAATGATTGAGGAGTGTATCTTTTGAATGCTCTTACATAAATCTACCTCTTTCTTCATCGTATGTATATGTATGTGTGAATTGAGAATAACTCCGATTACAAGTATCAGTAAGAGTGGTTTACATTGTTTAAACCATTATCAATATTCACCTAAAACACCTAAAATTCTTATAAACATTGTATAGTCAAACGTATTTTGAAAGAAACTCACTGATGCTCAACTATGAATACACTGTGTGAATCGTCCGTGTGAAATGTGGTCTCTGAGCCTTTCGCACGTGCAGCTCGCTCTTTGCCGACTCAGCTCATGAAATGCATGCGCAAGTTCAATTAATCTTGAACCCACCCCAGCACATTGGTCAGCTATCCACAGTGTATATTCGTCAGCTATCGATGCTGACTTCGTTGGTTCGAATACACCTGGCGAAGGTGACAAGGTGGAGGAGGGAAGAAAAACTGACCATTCTTAGGCACTGTCAGAAACACAAAGGAACCGAGGTTAAAAGTCGTAACGGCGTTTCATATTCTAAGTTGAATTTGACAGAACATCCTGCCAGCGATCAGTCAACCTATTGCCGGCAAGGTGTCACGAAGGGCCGTATAATCCCAGCTAGGCTCTCACACATGGACCTGACCCGGCAACAGAATGACAGGTATGTTTAATAGCACGTGATGACTGACTCTGAAAACACTTTCCAGGGCTAATTTGTTTGTTTGGAACTTTTAATTTCTATTGCAAGTATCACCTATTTGCTTTTTGCTTTGATAAGAACATGTAGGGTAAGATATGCCCCACCCTTAATTTTAACGAAAAATATATATAGGAAAGACTAATATATATATAATTTCCGTCCGTAACCCCGGTGTTTATTATCAATCTATGCCTAAACTTTTATGTAGATATTTCTTCATTGTCGAGATTACTCACCCGTTAATTTATATTTTCACCCATATTTCAAGCTGGGGTTACCCATTTAAAATGATTGTACAGTCTAAGTAAGCTTATTATTATTTATACTGCTATACTGAGTCTAACAAACCCCAGTAGAAGGTTGCGTCAGCTAACCTTTTCATGAATTGACCAATGAGAACACACCTTATCAAATCGCTAAAGTTAACATTCGCACATACCGTTTGAAGTTTTACCTCGAAAACGTTTGTACTCGAACTATTCCGAATGCTATTTTCCGCACGATCGCTTCCGAGTAATACACATGGAGGACGCCATTATTCACAACAGTGAATAAACATTCGCTGAAAATTGTGTTTTTCTCAATATTCTTGCGGAAATATAAGCGGTAAGAGCTCCTCCCGTTCCCCCATCCCAAATAATGTTTATAAATTAGCATATACTAAAATTATTAACAAAACTTAAGAGAACAATTACTAGAGAACTCACAAAAATGACTGAGTCCAAACTTTAAGTTAGAGTTAGGTTTAGGGTTGGGGGAACGGAAGGAACTCCATCATGACGGTGATGCCTGAAGTGGGTTCCATATATTGTACTCATGTCGGGAATCGAACCTGTACCATCAGTATAACGAACGAATGCTTTAACCACTGGATACCCCCTCCCCTGAAAATCAAATTGACCTCCACGCTGCCATTACCTGCATACATGTTTAATCATTACATCCATCATAGCTTGTACAATGGTAACATTTGGATGGATATGAACATTCTCACAAGCCACCGTCATATCCCAGTAATCCAAGTATATCACGTGATCTTGTAAATGCTGCAACTCCGATCTTAAAATCGAATCATACACAGGTCCAAAATAATCGTCCACAAATCCCGCCTTGTTCAAACCATGAAAAGCATGAGGTCCTTTAATGGCGACCTTGACCTTTGGCGCTCGAGCAAATAAATGTTCCAGCGATCCTGCGAGTCTTCTGACATGAGACCTGAATACACCTTCCGGAAACGCATTGAAATGTACATACAGGTGTATGATATATATGTCTGTTGAAAATGGTGTTACAGCATCTAAATACTCATGCGCAGCTTTGTTGACATCCGGGCTATGCCAGATCGACCCGTGGTGAAACGGAAGTCCATGCGGGCCCCAAAATATGGACATGTTATGAGATCTGTCCTCAGCCAAAAGAGGCTTATGTGGGTGTAAAATTTCTCCGGATGCATATTTTCTTACTATGTGTAGTTTTTGTGAGATGAATTCAAGCCACTGTCTGAGGGTCGAATCTCCGATTAGCCACAGACGTCTATTAGCCAGGCACGTTGTTAGTCGTGTCACGAATGTGTTGTTTGTTTCCAGATAACCTTCACCTGACAAGGCATGACCTTCACCTTGATGCCAGTTCCAGTTCAGAAAATAACCATGTGTTTGTGACCACGTCGAACGGTACGTAGATATTCGTGTTCCAATAGACCCCTCTTGTTTCGACTTTCCTGGAGATTATAGGATTAAATCATGATTAGGTTCAAAGGGCAAATACCACAAAAACAATTCAAACGTCAAAGGACACTTGACTCCACAAACTGACCAGAAATGGTAGTTGTAGGTTACCATTTGCCCAAACTGGTTCAGGAAACGTTCTTGATCGATAACAAGGGAAAGGATAATCGTTGGATGAAGCATTGGCTTTGCTTATTGATAACAAACTAATGAATATAACGGTACACTTCAATACATATATGTTGACTGCGGGACCTTGGTAATCGGGATATAATGAGAAATTCCTCTATAAAAGTCGCAATACGATTAAAACATATAGTCGCGACACACAGTCAGCGATCTATAAAACCACTCAGCCACCGCGTCCACAAGCCACACACCGAGATGGCTGAGTGGGTTAGATCGCGTCCACAAGCCACACAAATCGATGGCTGAGTGGGTTAGATCGCGTCTACAAGCCACACACCGAGATGGCTGAGTGGGTAAGATCGCGTCCACAAGCCACACAAATCGATGGCTGAGTGGGTTAGATCACGTCCACAAGCCAGACAATTCGATGGCTGAGTGGGTTAGATCGCGTCCACAAACCAGACACCGAGATGGCTGAGTGGGTTAGATCGCGTCTACAAGCCACACACCGAGATGGCTGAGTGGGTTGGATCGCATCCACAAGCCACACAAGTCGATGGCTGAGTGGGTTAGATCGCGTCTACAAGCCACACACCGAGATGGCTGAGTGGGTTAGATTGCTGGTTTTGTGTGCTGGCGGTTAGGTGCCTTACTCTGAGAGTGTGGACTCGAACCCCGGATGGAATACTAGTATCTGTATTTTACTGAGAAAGTGTAATCCCAAATATGACATTTATTTGTATGGCAAGGTTGCAACACGATAGATCTACCAATACGATAGGTCGCGATATCATTAAAATATCCGTAGTACGGACGAGGTCCGGTGCATGCATATATTTCCAGAAGTGGAAATAACCCATTGCCCGACGCCCCAGTCCAGTGTTTTTTTCTGTCGGGCAAGAAAATTTGTATATCACACTGTACCGGTGTCCAGTTGACTTTCCAATGTTAATTATGTTGTTTATTTAAAAAATCAACAAGAAAATCGGCCAGTATAGTGGAAACATTATCAGGGCAAGTAATTTTACATGTGCCACCGGAGTACACTAGCAATTTTAAAGTTATTTCCACCCCTGATTTCAAACGTCTATAGTAACGTCACGATGAGTTATAAACGTCCATGGTCAGGTCACGATTAGATGATAATAGTAAGGCGACAGACATATCTAGCAAATCCTTTAAACAAATTATATTCATGTGCTTAACAGATAATGTATGAAAACAGTCAGAAACCCAACCCATTTCCCACCCCTTAAACCACCACACTGAAAGTCATCCGTCGTTCAGTGACTGTTTATCTAACTGACCACTGATATTTCCAGACCAGAACACGCCAACCAGGTGAGTTACTTACCCTTGACGACCTTCACCTCTAACCGTCCCGGTATATTCTGATGAAACAGCTCTCTGGAAGTAAACGATTCCACACAATCAAACCTTTCATTGCGTAATAGAAAGCGTTATGGATCCGATAAACGCGGTTTCATGGTTCAATAGATATGCAGGTTCACCTATCAGAAACGGCTGAAATAAGCTGCAGATATCGATTGAATGATTGTGTGATATTGTAATACGTTTATTCTCGTAATCCCACCAACAGGTGGTGCAAGAATATGAATATATACACATATTTATATGCACAAATAGGTCATATCACAGAATTACGTCTAAATTACTTTAAGCATCGTAATTTCTAAACAACACGTATGAAAAGAAATAACAGATTCTTCAAATGTTTTGTTACACGAAAGCAATCTTTTTAGTTTGGGTACGTTCGGTCACTTCTACACTGATTTGGGCAAGTATAATATTCCCTGCTGGAGAAAAGCTTCACGTCTAAACAGGTAGTGAACGTCGTCTCCAACTGCTGGAGATTATCAGTTTACATAATCCTTCCTCTCTGGGGATATTGGGACAGCGACCAGTTTTTAGAGGTTAAAGATAAGGAATGTTAGTAAACACATTTTGCAACATGAGATCATTTTCAAAACAGTGTTTTTATTTAATATATTTACTAGTGAGTGAGCGATTTTAGTTTTACGCCGGTTTTTAGCAATATTCCGGCAATATCACGGCGGAGGACACCACAAATGGGTTTCACACATTGTACCCATGTGGGGAATCGAACCCGGGTCTTCGGCGTGACGAGCGGACACTTTAACCACTCGGCTACCCCACCGCCCCATATATTTATTAGAGCTTCTTTTTGGGCTGTGTTATATTGAGCTGTATCAGTGTGGTCAATTGTTTTCCACAAACCTTTGGAACTAGCCATGGCGTGGAGAATAGAAAAGGGTTTTTGAAAACTTCAGTTAGTCCATAAATATTTATTGATATGGAAACAACAGATATTCATGGTAGATGTTCATATCTTCCCGTGCTAACAAACGCTCAGTGTCTCAGTCATGGTTTGTTTTCAGATTGCAGTTCACGTTGACATTGCGCTCACATAAATTCGGCGTACCTTCTGTATAACGCTCTAATTGTGATATTCTAGTTGTTTTACTGTCCTTCGTCGACAGGTTTTTATAATATGCATATATTCCATTTCAGTGCCAAATATGTTTTCGTCACGATGTGGCTGCAATTTTGCCGATGTGACGTTAAATAATAACTCACTCACTCACTCTGTATAACGCATGGAAGCCTGGAAGGGACAATGCGACAATATCCCTTCGAGGATTCCATAACGTGTAACCCTCAACTGGCCTCTAACAGTATTGTCCTCGTAAAACGTCTACCACTTTGATTTCTGTGAAAAAAAGATGATTAAAATTGGTCCCTTTTGATGGGGAGTGGACGAAAGCTGAAACTGATGCAGACGTTTAATAATCTAATTGACATGAACCCCACGAGGCCAGTAAAATAGCACTACACAAACAAAAGAACTTGATCAGGGATTCGAACCCTGGATCATAGGATCCTGACATATTCACACAACACCATAAACGATTTGGCCGTCCATGAATCACGAGTATGAAAAAATGAGACATTTTATCCCTGCAATTAAATCACTTTTGTATTGCTGGATTATCGTTTTAAGTAAAAACTGTAAAATCTAATTTTACTTGGAATGCTATTTGGTACGGGCCCAAACCACATTTAAGTAAGAGGATTGTTATTCCTGAGTTATTGTATCAGACCAGGTCGCCAAGTCCATCGCGAAATGAAAGATGCTTTTGTTCTGGAGATATTCTGATGTCAGCCTTCAAAAACAATTCCGATTCATTTCTCTATCAACCCCAATTCAAAAACTTTCATCTTATCAAATCAAAACCACCACAAAACAAAAATATACACTCGATTGTTGACCGTTTTGGGTTAATCCCATACATTTCAGAAATATCTAAATATCCCCTTCAATATTCTAGCACGATCTTAATTTTCCGCATTCCGAACTCCCCCATTATATCCCTTTTCGAAATACAGATGTCGGATTGAATTCCCTGTATGCTTCGCCTAATCGTATCGAGAATGTAGACGCTTCGGTGATGCTACAGGAAGTACTTTGGACTGGGATATCAGGCCTTCGCCCCGATAACTGTCGTTTCGGAGAAAAAGGTTTTACTTTTTGTAATTGTTGCATTTTTTCTACATACTCACTTTATAAACATTTTCTTCTCATCTTGTGTGAACCTTCCTGCCTGCCCAGGGGGTGTACGTACAGCAACCCAATTGTGACATTGTAGATTCACGGGGTGTCCGCAGTAGAACGGTAGACCTCCGACATCCTTGCTCAAGTTGCATAACTTGCTGAACCCTCGGATTTGAGGGGATGGAAGGCAGGGAGTTTCTTCGCTAACGCCGCCCGTTTCAAACCTGGCCATCATGGTGTTCAGACTACCGTTACTGTGGAACACCCGGTGAAACATATTAATCAACTCCTTTGGTGCTGCTATAGCTGCCATTACTGTCACGTTGCCAGCCCACCTTGGAATAATCGTTGCCGTATACGTTCCATTTTGATTATCAATCACACTTCCTGCTGCGCATGCGCCTTTTGCTACTTCCTTTATCCACACGCGGACAAGGTCACCGCCACTTGTCATCGGCAAACCGCGCCCGTTGAAAGTTTGTATCCTGACTTCAATTTTCTCACCGATTGCATAAACATGTGATTTCGACATCAGCTGTAGTTTGGATTCGGATGCCCTGGCACAGTTCAAGGGAGAAAGTTCATGTTTTTGAAATGGGCGGACAGAGGAGTTAGCTCCCTTGAGCACATGGTGGCTATTGGTAGGTTTAGCCTTCCTCTTTGAAATGGAGTGGAGATGGAAACGAGGCTTCGGTAACACTCGAAAATTTCTTTGGTTTCTGAAAATAAGCTAGTATGGTTATGACAGTTTACCCACGTGTAAAAGTAAGCCTTAAAATATGCCGGCTATGGGTTTTAACAAAATCTGTTGATGCATTGTCGACAATCAGCATAGACCATATGTAGCTTGCATAGCAATAATTACACAAAACGTAAATAGATTGAGTAAGCATACACTCGGTGAAGATCTGGGTTTAAATTGGTCTTCAGCAACCCATGCTTGTCGTAAGCATGCCATAAACATACATATGTGTAGGTCGACAAACTGTCTAAGCAGACATGTGTGTCGACCAACAATCCGTATCATATATGTAGGTCGACAATCCGTCTTAATACCATGTGTGTAGACAGACAATCCGTCTTAATATGATGTGTGTAAATTGACAATCTGCCTAAACATATTATTATACGTCTGTAGACAGACAATCTGTCTTAATATCATGTGTGCAGGTCGACAAGCAAGGCAACCGGCAACCGGCAACCGGCAACGGCATGTATGTAGAAAAGCGATTTGTCAAAACCGTATTGCACAGGGCAATGGTTACTCATTAATGTGACACCGAAATAAATTATAAGGACACACTGAGGAGAATACTCAAGTGTAATAAAGTCTTTTCCATCTTAGAGAATGTAAACAAGATGATTGTACTACTTACTGCAGTTGGACCAGGTTGTGCACACACCTCTGATAACTGCTCCACTGGACAGTATCCGGGCTAAAGAAACCAGTAACTCATGTGAAGGAGCTCAGGAGAGACACAGGACAGTCAGTCACATCAACACAGGGAAGAATGAGCTCAGGCGAGACACAAGACAGTCAACATCCACGCGTCATGTCGCTATACACACAGTCAGAATATCTCAGGAGAGACGGACCGTCATCCACGCGTCATGTCGTTATACAACACAGATCAGAAGAATGAGCTCAGGAGAGACACAGGACAGTCAACATCCACGCGTAATGTCGTTATACAACACAGATCAGAAGGTCGACAACAACATCCACGCGTCATGTCGTCCGACAGAAGAATGCTCAGGAGAGACACAGGACAGTCAACATCCACGCATCGTTTACAACACAGTTAGGTCAGGTAGAGGACAGTCAACATCCACGCGTCATGTGTATACTATCAGAAGAATGATGGTTCTCATAATGACATCAGGAGAGACACAGGACAGTAAGTCCCAGGAAGGTTGACTCAGACAATATGCGTTGACATTAATCAATCACCACCTGTGACTAGTCAAATATACTGAGGTTTGTTTGATGGTTCGCAGCCAGGGACGACAATATTGACCACAGCTAGTCAAATATATGAGTTTTGTTTGACGCAGCGTTATTGACCACAGCAGCTTCGCCCACTGTTTATGGTGTGACAGCAGTCCCACTAATCGCTGTGCCTGCTGCGAGGCCGTTCACTGATCCATTTAGGGTCGTGTTTTGGATCACTGAGACTGTAAGGGTTCGAGACTTATATTTACAGTAACTGACACGTAATTGATTGTTGTTTGGAAATATATGCATGAGATATGAGTAGTTCACAATTTGAATGGTGACAAGAATCAGGGAGGCAAAAAGAAAGCATCGAGAAGTGAGTGAGTGAGTTTAGTTTTACGCCGTCTTTAGCAATATGCAAGCAATATCATGGCGGGGGACACCAGAAATGGGCGTCACACATTTTAGCCATGTGGGGAATTGAACCCGGGGCTTCGGCGTGATGAGCGAACGCTTTAACCATCAGGCTTCCCCACCGTCCCGGATGGAGAAGTAATATGTGAACCTCGACTTGAAGTCATTGGTATCACTGCGGTTCAGATTGTTGTGTGCGTGTGATATTTTTCCTTAGTTTTCCTAGGCTGTGGGGGTGGTTGATGAAGGATTTACGCTTTATTATTTTGGTAAACACAAACCTTTACGTATGATTATGGGGCGAATCTTGGGTGCACACCGACTCTGGATCTCTATAACTGTAGAAGACTACGAGTTTTCAATCCTAATTTGAGATGAACAGTGGATCAATGAGCAAGAAAGGAATGTTTCACAATTTAAAACCACAAACCTTTCACGCATTAAAGCAGTATGATGCTGGCCTGGTTTGTCGAGGCAACTAGTTTATTATGTATGCAGCTAAAGAACAAACCGAAACATGAGAGTCTCATTTACCAATTCAGACAATGACCTACTTTTCAGTCGATCCGAATTTTGTCGTGTGAAAGTGACAAGAGACACTACAAACAACTATGGTTAGCCTAAATTCCAATTCCTTGTTTCATAATTAAATGATATTTACAAATTAATTTTGATTTGAAAGTTTTAAAAAAATCGTCTTTCTATATTTTATGTCAGGTTTAGGCAGCATGTCAGACTGCCCCTGTTTGAAGAGGTCATGCAATGATTTTCATTTCATCTGGCTCATTGGTTACACCTGTTATGTGTTTATTGCGCTTATTAAATCTATATTTGTAACGTACAGTGTGATTGATATAATATCAAATTCGTAACAGACCGCCAAACTTTTCCAGCGGCAGAGCCTCGTTTTGAGATTTCCGCGATTTCCAGATTTCCGTTTGTCAGAGCACGTTGTACGACAGAGCACAGAAGGAGCGTAGTGTTGCAATATACAAGTGGTTGGATGTATCAAATAATACTGATTAATATCTATATATCCAGTTGAATGAATTGGTGTCAAACATTCTGGACTGGTCATTGTACTAAGTTGCGCAATAGGACGGAACCCAGTCAGCAGGAAACGAGACTGTTCTGTGATGAATGTTTTGTCTTGGATCATTCTGAAAACGCATATATACACCGGAGTTCAAACATCAACGTGTATTTTTCTAAACTACGTCGATAAAGGCTGATGAGGTCATTAGCACAGTGGATTGGCTGATTACATGTTTCTCCATAGTGTTGTTCATGATATCAGTCACTGGGTTGTCGAAGCTGGTCATTTTCTCTTTGTTGCGCAACCCTGTTTGCGCTTGCGCAACAACAGTTTCGTATATGCGAGGCGAAGCGCTTCAGTTTGCCTATGCTGCAAGGAAACATCAGTGGACTCAAATAGATGTGAACGCTAACCTACATGTAACAGATCGGTGCAGCACCTGCCGCCACGCATTGTGTACGATGATTCGGAGTATGTCTGGTGGGACCACACTGTGGCATGCTCCCCATCGCCCTTGACAACACTGCAGCTGTCGGCGTCGTCGTTGCAACATATATCCTGTCTTAATATAACTACAAATATTTTTGAAAGCAACACTGCATAACTGTAAGCGGGTTGTTGCAGTAGGTATTGCAGACTGTGGCATGACTGTTGGACGTTGTGTGGTTAGAATGTTGTGCCACAGCAGTAGTGAGTGAGTGGTTCCACGCCGCTTTTAGCAATATTAGAACAATCACACAGTTTTTCTGTCAGCCAGCTGTTTTATTGGTCAGTGAGAATTAGAACCCGGTTTTCGGTGTGATGAGCGAAAGCTATAACCACTAGGCTACCCCACCGCCCATCACTATAGCAAGACTGTAGTAATAGAACTGCGACAGCTGCTGTATGGCGAGTGACTGAATGAGTGTAGCAGAATTTTTTTTTAGCAATATTCGAGCAATATCGCGGCGGGGGGACACCAGAAATGGGCTTCACATATTCTTTGCACCCATGTTTGGGGTCGAACCCGGCTCTTCGGCGTGACGAGCGAACGCTTTAACCACTACGCTATCCTGCTGCCCCCTACTGAATGGAACAGCTACAACACTGGCTTATCCGTGGAAAAGCTGTTGTCAGACCCCTGCATCAGTGAGGAAAGGCTAGAGTGATATTGCTTCGACACAGCAGGAGTGAGTGAGTATGGTTTTACGCCGCTTTTAACAATATTCCAGCATTATCACGGCGGGGAACACCAGAAATGGGTGTCACACATTGTACCCATGTGGGGAATCAAACCCGGGTGTTCGGCATGACGAGCGAACACTTTAACCACTAGGCTACCCCACCGCCGCACACACAGAGCAGGAGGAACGTCCAGGTGGTGTTGAGAGACGCGCTTTGCTGCTGCAACACGGCTGGATACTGTAATAACCCTGCAACAACGATTGCAATGCTGTTGAAAGTCTGTAACAAAACTTATGCACTTTTTTACTGTAAATGAGTTGTAGATATTTTATGATTTGTTTGTTTGCTAACACCACAGTATTCCAGCTATTTAGCGGCGGTCTGTAAATAATCGAGTCTGGACAATCCAGTGATCAACAGATATTTTTTGTACTATTGTCATAGGACTGTTTGCTTCATGAATGTACAATAGATTTAATGCTGCAACATTAACAATGTACCTTAACTCTTGCGACGTATTGTAAGACAAATACCACGTAAACACATCTGTAATATGTCTGTAGGTTGACTGTATGAGTGGGTTGGGTGTACGTCATACTAGACCCGCACTGTTAGAAATCTAAACTTGACCATGGCATTCGACGTTCTATGATGTAAAATGAGACGCCGAGTTGCTCCCATGAACAATTATAATCGAAGTACGTAGATTCTTTTTTCCGATAAAATAAATATAGGTTATCACGCTCGTGTGTTTTGGGATGGTTAATATCTTGCATTAGGAATAGTTGTATTTAGCGAGCCTTGGCGAGCTAAATACATATTGTTTATTCCTAATGCAGGATATTAACCATCCCAAAACACACGAGCGTGATAACCTATTTATCATACAATGTCGTTTTTGCTTTATAATTTAAGAAAATGCGATTTCAAATGCCACAAATCATGAAACTAATCTTCGTGGACTGTCTATGACGTCACAAATATGTGCGGAGTAATACGTTACGTCACAAGCCCGGTGACATAATTTTCTCATGATCACTCAGCGGTCATCTAGTTCCCAGTAAGCTTTTATGCTAAGGCACGTATTGTTGTCAACAAACGTTTGAAAAAATTACAACAAACTCACGTGGAACTTCAGAAACATTCAATTAACCTTTTGAACAACCAAATACGCATTAATGTTAGCGTGACATTGTGCACCGTTCTCTCGCTAACACTGACAGTCGGTAGGGGAACTGATGTTGGTATCTTCGTAAGCCTATGGATTTCTATGTTCGCTTTGTAATCTACTCCATCCATCAAAACAAGGCATGAATTTTCTGGGATCACAGCACTGACAGTACCATAACCACGGCCATTAATCCGGACACGACCCTTGACGCGATGTTTGTTTACACTGTGAAAGTAGTCCCTGAAATTTGCAGATGACCTTTCTAATTTGCATCGATATCCGTATATGACCCCAACGGATACGGAAAATATCCGTTGGCTTTATCCTGCCGAGAACGGTATCCATTGTATGATAAAAAGAAAGTATCAAAATATCAGGTTTATTTATTTTTTCTTCAAAATTATCAACAGTACACAACTATATAATTTAAATCTTAACATTTTTACATCTTAACATTTTTACACAGTATGTACAAAATTAACTTCACTGTTAACATAATCGTGCAGTACTCACAAAACATGGTGAACATTCACCAACACAAATAACAGCCGATCCCACAAACCTTTGTGCAGTTTTCATTTGTCAACTACAAAATAATCTGTACACACAGGCGCCTAGCTGTCACCCAGGATAGCTATGGCAGCCTGAGAGTTTTCAACCAATGAAAACAGAGCACAAAGAAGTCTTGGAAAAGGTCTTGTAACAATGGAATGGTTTTTGCATCGCCTTGGCAACCAGAATCACAGATACAGGAGACAGGTGTAAAGAATACATTGCAATAACGAAATAATAAACAGTTCCTGAACATATCATGTCGCTCTCTTTAAACCGATTCTTCAACAGTTGCATATCTAACGAATAGTTCTATACACCAACATCTGTACCATCAACATAAGGATAACAAAGATTCTCCAGAGCTCTAGGAAAATGATAAAAATTATTCTCTACATATTGGACACCACTGTGTCTGTTCATTCATACACTTAGACAATTTACATATTGCCTAAAATTAGTTAAATTTACAAACAGACTGAAAAATCGATTAATTTATTTGACAGCTTGACTTAAGCAGTTCAAAAAGACTTAAGCAATCACAATACACTATTTATGCTAGGCTTTGAAGCCACAAAATAAAAATATATAAGACATTGGCCTTTTTTTCAATTCGGAATCAAATTGTTTAGAAGTTGATATGATATAAATAAAAACGGAAATAATTATAAAATTACTGAGATATCAAAGTGTTTTGAAAATTGTCCAAGTGAAAAATTCAATCATTACACATTGACTGTATACGTCCAAAGGACAGGTGCTCGGGTTTTACTATGGATTGGATTAACGTGTTAAATGTTTACTGTTATAAACCGTTATCTACTGTTGCTCGTTGATTGATGAGAAGGGAACCATCTACGGGATCAGTTAGAAGGGCTTTAGGCCTATATTGTCCTGTGTGGTATTACATTGTTTTGTAACGAATCTATACGAGATGTTGGCAATGAAATAAACGTACAGTGACAAGACGAAGCATGACGTAAGTAGGATTAACTTGATTACGGTAATACAAATCTGTATACAATGCACCATAGGTTGATAGAAACATGTCAATAAAATATAAATGGAATTGATCGATAAATGCCGATTGCAATGAATATTCGTACCCTCACTGTAGAAATAGCTGAGCAGATGAAATTTGCTCTTGAATATAAACCAGATTCACGACTCATTGAGCAAATGCACAAATTTCATGGGAGACGAACACTAACAAAATATATTGCTAATTTAAATAGATTCAACCCCCCATACAGCTAGTATCAACTGTAGAAACAAAATCAAAACATGTTTGAAAACGAAAGTATATGTAATGTACTTTTCAGTACAAATATCAATGACCTACTTTTGTTTTTCGAAATGTCAATGTTGAATTATTCATGCTAGTGTTATCAATATCCCTGTAATCACATAGCGCATCCATAGCCTGAATACACTGTATCTGTGTGGACTCGATCTAGGACAGTTGGTGAGACTAGGGTTCATCCAAGTTCCATAAAAACAATGTCTGAAAATAATTACTCAAACAAGTGACACGCTTTTGTTTACCTAATCTTTGATTTATCATATCCACGCATTTATTGATAAGATGATTATCAAAATGGTTATCATTGTCTAAGCATTATATGTTTTCAGTTTAAACATCATCCTGCCCGAATCGGATCTTGATAGCATGACATGATCATTTAGGATCAACTGGCATTCGTTTCAAAACAGAAAACTGAGTAAAGTAAATTGCGTTCAAGGGACAAAACTCGTACGAGACTAAATACGATAGATTGCACGTCGGGTATAAAGAATATACAGTCAAACATTTCTAAAGAGAAATAAAAGTGCAACGTTGAGACAGGAGACATGAGAAAGTATCGTCCTATTTTGTGGTTGTAATTTCAAACAACATTTACCGATTATTAACTGATCAGATAATGGAATTATGTTCAATACAAATATCACACATCAATTGCCAATGTTGGTAGTTCCAGGCGCGTTATCCGAATTGCAATAATACGTATAATTTAACCACGTTTGCATATCACAGAATTATTATCCTCGAGACACTAAAACATAAATTACCTGATTTATCTGACTGGATTGTGAAGGTAAATTACAGAATGTTTCATTTCTGAACAAGGTGCAATAGATTAAACTTCTTTTTGTAGGTAACGGTTATGAATGCACGCGTGATGGTCCTCTTGGACACTTAAAGTACACAGACACGTGTATGTACGTAACTGAGTTGCGTTTAAGTCTTAATCATATATAGCACTGATAGCATAATCCAATTATGCTTAACTGAACTTAGTACACGTGTCCATAATTTTGTAAATTAAAATATTAACTGAAAATCTACATGGTCTCTCTGTGATCGTATGATTTTAGATACTTGGTTCACGGATTTGGCTTTCTAAATATCGAAGACATATGCTAAGTCGACAGGTTATGCTTAAATTATGCTTTAAGTTTAGAATTCAAGGAGCTTGTTCCCCCGTTCCTTAGAACTGTAAGCCAACGAGTTACTTCTCCTTTAATACAAGTCCATTTGTGAGTTTTTCTTGTTAAGGTGCGTTGAATCCGTAAACCAAGTATAAACCCTCGCCTTTTGACAACCCACAAATACAACTCTCAGTCCATGTGTTTGGTCCTTCATAACTCTTCCAAGTAACAAACCCCGACTTGCACATCCATGTCTTCCGTGTGTACACACGTCATCGAAACGTGAGCATGACGTCAAACACGTATCTCTCAACGTCACTTCCGCATTACTGTCACAAAAACATGGCGTCCATCGACCTCGACTTTCCGTGTATCCGTCTCATGGCAGTGTTCCTCTTCATCTGTCGAGGAGAGCGGACTTGTGTCTCAACCCTTGGGTCTTGGTTTTCCTTGAAAGAATTCTGGCGACTCGTCTCGCGTTCGCCATACTTTTCCTTTGCTTCGCGGATTTGAGTTAACCACGTAGACTGCAAACAAAAATACACATAATAAAACCTTTGTAAACAGAAGGCCGGAGCTACAAGGTAAAAAGAACACATTTGAGAAGTGCATTTTACTAAACATTTACAGATGTTATCAAAATATTACTAGGCTTTAACCAGTATAATACTGCACTACTGCAAACGTAAGTCTCCGATCATACATAGGATACCAGTATCAAATATATCGTAATTGCCAAACCTAAAACCATTTGTTTGTTTCATTTCCAGCCACCATGAAACACAGGTTGAAATGTTCTTTGGCCGGGCCGTTTATACCTATTGCGTGGAGTTACCCCCTCATTACACCCTATCCGTGGTTTAACGAATAGAACCTCTTCTTTGAGAGCTGACGGTCATTGTTTCGATCCACGGCCGGGCACGTAATATTAAAAGACGTTAAAGAGGGTACTTGTTGTTATGCAGGCGCGCGGCATAACGGGATAAGACAAGACGGTTCGGCACGGAGTCAGTTTACAATGTCTGAGTGTGGCATATTGATAAGGAACAGCAGAATGGAATCTCTGAAGACGCACTATAAAATCAACATTTGTCCAGACAAGAAGACACACACAGCACACAAAACACTTGTCATCGTATCCCAATTGCGTAGATCGATGCTCATGATGTTGATCACTGAATTGTTTGGTCCAGTACGTGCGGCGTTAAACAAAAAACAACACAGCACTCACATACACAAGATGGTCGCCACATATTACAATAAACTCGAACTTAAACCACACTTCACGTCACCTCACCATACAGATTGACCTACTTTCACACATAACGCTAATCGTGGCTAATTGGGCAGAGTCCTCATTTTTTGCACATTAAGGAGTCATTGACTTCATTACCGGTCTCATCAGACATATGGTTACATCCTTCAACAACACATCCAACATTTCTTCATTCTGGCAAATCTTCGAATAACTCTCACCAATACTCTATGAGCAAAAATCCTGATATTACGTCAAATGTTAGACTTGTTTGGGGGACTGGCAGTCAGGGAATACTTTTTTTATCAGAAAAAAACATGCTTCTGGCACGTGTCTAAATCATTAACACCGACTGTCAAATCATAATCACGTTAGGCAGCAGCGAAAGAAAAGCTTGAGGTAGTATTTTTACCAGTTGGCACGAGATAAGTACAATTGCATTGACGAAATGGTCATACAGCTCGCATGACAAAGAGAATACCACAGTTAGTAGCATGGCAACCTTTGGCGTTCTTTTCAAACTGCAGAGACGTGAAGGTTGATAACGACTTCACCAACAGCCTTCAGTCCCGAGTCGGGAAGATGTTCCCACTCATAGCACCAGAATTTTTATATCCTGTCTCTTTTGTCAGTAATGGTCATAACATATGTCGCTACGGGAGCGTAGAGCGTCAGTCATCTATACACCGGCGTGAAACCGACGTTCGTTGCTCCGTCGGGGGGATATAACAACTTTAATTTCACTCTACTGATCATACACATGTTATGCAACAACTCATGAACATTACGTGAATCGTTTTTCCTTCGACAACGAGTATATTTTAGCATGAAGAAACTTGAGATTTAAGTTACATCTACAGTCGTCTAATCAGAATATGTGAAAAAGGCATTTGCGGTAGGCGATTTATCTCGACTGTCGTTGAAGTCTGTGAAAGCTTTTGTGTTTAAGGTTTCAGAGAAATAGGAATGGTTTTATCTTGTGATCGGTTTATCGTTATTTTGAAATCGATTGCATGCGTTTAGATGGCACGTTGACATTAAATGTTGTGTATTGTATTCCGATTGTGTCAGGCCTTTCTTCTGTGTGGAGATAAATCAGTGTTATTTCTGTCACCAGCAGTTACCTACCTTAGATGATTCACAGGAGGCTTGTAATGTGTAGACACCGATGATTTGTTGGAAGCGGCTGAACTGAACCAGCACGAAAATATTCTTCAAACCGCAGGCTGAAAAAAACAATAGTTGAAGGTTGAAATTGTGTGAGTGAGTGAGACTGGTTGAACTAGAATTAGAACCAAGGGTCAACTTAAGTTATCCGTTGAGCGCTATTTGACGAACCTCTTGGGATGAAGGGCTGCTTATTCATTACAGGGTAGGGTGAGTGAGTTTGGTTTTACGCCGCTTTTAGCAATATTCCAGCAATATCACGGCGGGGGACACCAGCAAGGCGCTTCACACATTGTACCCATGTGGGGAATCGAACCTGGGTCTCCGTAGTGTAGTAATATGCATTTTTTACAGCAGAAGAAGTGACTGAGTGAGTTTAGTTTTAGGTCGCACTCAGCAATACTCCAGCTATATGGCAGCGGTCTGTAAGTAATCGAGTCTTGACCAGACAAACCAGTGATCAACAGCATGAGCATCGATCTACGCAATTCGGAACCGATGACATGTGTCAACCAAGCCAGCGAGTCTGACCACCCGATCCCGTTAGTCGCCTTTTACGACAAGCATGGGTTACTGAAGATCAATTCTAACCCGGACCTTCACGGGTGGCAGAAGAAGTAGTAGTAGTAACAGTAGTGCTCAGTGGTATTAACAGTAGTTGTTATTGTTGTAGAATAACTATTAGTAGGCTTAATTGTATTATTATTAGCTGCTGAGGTAAAAGTATCAGTTTTGTAGTCCTGGTGATGGAAGAAGAAGAAGAAACCCACCAGCAGCATCAACGGAAGTGACGTCATGAATATTGAATCTGTCTAAGGCGATTGGTTGTCTGTACACTGTGTATGTGCATCTGTCTGTTTGGCCGCTAGATGGAGTCTTGGTGTTGACCTCATTCACTGACTGTTTCTGAAATGTAAGAAAAATGTCAGCCACTGACAGTTGTATTCACGCAACGTTCTCCAAATGTTCCAAAGTACCCGGAACATGAACGATCAACAATGAAAGAGATCCCGCGCAAACACAGCCCAGTCTTCTCAGATACGTATAGTATATCCAGGAGTCATCTTCCCTCCTGGATTATCTACTTTGAAACTTCTTTCATTCCCTTTGGCAAAGGTTAATCCCCTGTAACTGTATCCCATTCCCTCATAACACAATCTGCGTTAGTTTCAATCTAATGACATTTCATGTTGTTGTCTACAAGAAATGTGTGCCTCCATCATCAACTTATTAGACCTATATTACTTGAACCAAAGGTGTCCGTTTACTCGATGAGAGTGACTGAAATAGCCCAGGTCACTGTGACATATTGGGATTGTAATTTGCAGAACTCAGTCAGCTCATACCGTGACATCTGTAACAGCCCTGGTTCCAAATCATTTTGTTGTTTCATCCACCCTTTACGAAACCACTTTAAGTTGCGATATGTTCTTGTTGTGTCTAAAATTTCAAATATCACGTTTTGATCACGAACTGATCTATTTATGTGATTACTTTTTTAAAATTCAACATTTGAAACGTTAAAAAGCTCTTTGATGTGATTTACAACGGAAGTAGATATCAACGGAGCAAAAACAATTATCACATCACGTAGTTAGGTTACAAATGACGACTGCGTTAAGAACGCATGCATTCACCACATGGAACTTATATAAAACTTTTAAAGTACATATATATATGTTGTTAGAGTACAGAGGCAGACTCAAGGTATATCAGTGTACAACGTATGGATTCTCAGCTCCCTTAGGAGGATGCAACACACATCCCGCGGCGGGACTCCCTGTACATGAAGTACGTGTATAAACCAACCATAGTGATTATTAATTAACGCCTAATTAGTGATTGATATTATGAACATGACAAGGCCCTGTCGGGTACGATGAAGAGCAAATATTCCAAGTTGAATATTTGTCTCCACTTAACTTAGTGATGAAAAGGGTTAGAATATTATAGTCTGTTTGCAGTGAAAACCTACCGATGAATTTCACTTCAAACAAAAACGTAAATCAAATAATGTGAAATAAAGATTGCGAATCCTCAAAATTTTACCTTGTCAAATGAACATTTAAATCTGAGAATTTTATTCGTCTTGGGATAAAAGTTGTTTAACAAACGATCATAGTTTCTATTAGATTTGTATTACAAGTTGGTATGCTCATTAAATGAAACCCCGAGAACAAGAAGTTTGGTCTAAGTTAACGCTCATCACGTACCGCACGTGCATTTGTTTTACTGTTCCAACTACAGCGTTTACTCCCTTGTAATACACACCAATAATAGCGATTTGAAACTATGATCGTTTGTTAAACAACTTTTATCCCAAGATGAATAAAATTCTGAGTTTAAAATGTTCAATTGGCATGGCAAAATTATGAGGATTCGCAATCTTAATTTCACTTTATTTGATTTACATTTTTGTTTAAAGTGAGATTTATCGGTACGTTTTCACTGCAAACAGACTATATGCTCACGAGATAAACGTGACTCCGATATACAGTACAGGTTACAAAAGGACGTACTGTCGGCAATGTTTTCCCGACACTAGCAATCACGTTAAGTGAACAGAGGACAAAAACACACTTTCCATAAAGATAAGAAATATCTGCTCAAAGCTTTGTTTAAAGTACAATCTATTCCATATATTAAGCTTGTGTCATTCTTATCACTAAAACCCATCAAATAATGACGCTATGAGGTCTGGCTTATCACATCGATGACATCCTTCACAAACACATGACAAGCCAAGTCAAGTGTTCACCTGAACTAACATGGGTATGACATACCTAACTGCATCGGACATACTTTTGATCACTGATGAGTTACATATGGAACTTTTCTCCACACGTCTTCCATATGACATTCTGACAGCTTTAAGACGGTTTGAATGTTGTAACCCTGATGAAACAACCTTTGAGCATGCGTCGTGTGGTGTGGCGCCGTACATGAATTCAACACAGCAGGCTCGTAATTCCGACTCTCATTACTGTACACGACTATTTACCTGTGACCCCATATCACACAAAGCAAACACTGGTAATGTGGATCTGTGGATTTCCTGCTAAATAAACAGGACTGACCAAATTGCTTCCAGATTAGCTTCAGATGAGGAGATTGACTAGGCGTGCACTATCACTTAAAACACTCCCGGTGGTGTACAGTACAGCTTATTGTAACCCGATTGTGTCAGGTCTGTTTATAAATCGACCTTTAAAGCAGGCTAATGCTATGGTAGTTTTCTATTCTTAAAAAAATCCCATACAGCACCATAAACAAATACACCTATGACCCGGAGCCATCACATTTTTGCTTGTGTTTTCATTAATCTTAACCTGTGGCCATTGACCGAAGTTGTTTTAGTCTTCGTGCTGGATTTGCTTTCCGTTATGTCTACTAGATGATTACAATTTGTACTGACATAAATACATAGACATATAAGACACATTATACTGATTGCACCGTACACGGCGTCCTACCAAAGCAAAGAAAATCATATTTATTAACCCCGACATTACCTTCTAATGGAAATAAGAATTTTATTCAAGAATCGTCATGAACTGCTGAGTATATTCAACGATCTGCTCCATAACGAGGGTCAAGTCTCTGCTCTACAAGGGATGAGAGGCCTATTGGATTCTCTCCCGTGAAGCCTTCCGTCCGTGACACTAATCACTGAGGACTTAAAGAACACCCTTGTCTCATTCCGAGCGTATTTCACAGCAAGACGGAGTAAACCAGTCTCGCTGAGGTACTAATCAGATAAATGCAAGCGATGTGTATTTGTAAATTCCTTTGACAGTAATGTGAAATTTATATCCCCGTGAGTCATGTCAAATAATGTATAAGACTTTCCCTTTACGAGTTGGTGGGTTTGGTGGTCTAAGGCGAATATTCCACACTGACATAACCCAGTCAAGAACAGGCTAATACATTTCTCGCTGACAAGTCAAGACGTCATGTTAAAAGTATTTTGATTCGTGAATAATAAACAGTGGGCATATAAACCAATGACTGGATATTCACCTATTATAGTCGCTTTCATTTATCTATATCCTTTTCAAATGAATTTATTAATACTTTGTTTTACTAATTATAATTTCAAAGGTATGAGGATATAATTACATATATTTACCTTTCTTGGCGTTTTCTTCATCTTTGTTATCAGCAAAATGTCATCAAAAACGAATATATGCACCTCTACAGACTTGGTCGTTTCTGAAAATAAGGTAAATGAGAGAATAAATTGTAATGTATCATTCCACACGACCACTCCACATATCGCATGAAACATTGTCTGAAGCAATTTATAATTTAGATAAATGCTACACATTTTTGGAACTTAAAAATATTTAGATGTTTTACTTACACTGAACTTTTCACTTACTTTTTGTGATTATGTAAGTAGCAGGAGTTACCGATTTTCGCGAACACCTGGTGTTATTACTCATTTGCAATTCACATAAGTTTCAGGTCTATTTTGCCCTTTACACCAAATGGAACCCGTTTCCGATGACAGCCGATACTGGATAATCACCTGTACTGACGTTGTATATTTCTATGATAACCACGATCGCGATTAGTAGTGAGTGAATCTCAGTTATGTAGTATGGTGTCAACTTCATTTGGGTTGTCATCTCAAAGTGATGCTGTTCTTAAACGTTTAACACTTTCTTACAAAACTTTTAACATCACAAAACAGAATCAATATTGGTTCAACCGTTCATAGCATTATCACAGGCCAAACTCTCACTTGGACAACTGGGAACTGGGCCCACTTGCCTCCTTTATGAACCAATTATTAGGAATTATAGCAAGGGATTACCTACCGATCAGAGCCAGCTGGCCTTCATACATGAGTTGCCTCTTCGTACATGCGAGGAGTTTCTCACACGGCTGCTTGCCCAGCGTAGCCTTTAAGCACTGAAACAATCAATCAAATGTTAAAGACAAATGTGTGTATTGATAATTTCTTAGTGGTATGCACATCGTATGATTTGTAATTCACTCCCTTCGAAAGTCGGTGCTTCCGGCTTGGTTAGCACTGACTTTGTGTGAGTGTATTTAGGATTTAACGGAAAAAGGAACTCTTGTTAAATTTGACTATGTCTGTTTAACAGTTTGTTAAAAGTAAATGTGAATGGGTAAATTTTGTTAGATTGGGAAATATATAGAACGGCGAATTAACAGTGAGAGGTGTAGTTTATTACAATTTGCATAAAAGTATGATTACAATGTATTCAAAATAGTAATAACCAACCAAAGAATACACGTCTTTTTCACATCAATGATAACATACAAGTGAATTCAAAACATGCTAGGTTTATCTCATATTTATCTCATAATGGGTTTTAACAGTCACTTGACGTTATAATTCCCATAGAAATACTACAGATTTGCAAAGAATCACTAATACCTTGCAGGCAACACGGTTCTTATTCTACAAGCTGTTAAACAAAACCCCGTTAGTTTGAATGTTAAACAATCCAAAAGGTCATGCTTGTCAACAACCGATACTTAAGAATGCGATACAAGGGACATCATCTTTGTGAACATAACCAACAAACAACATACAACCGTTTCAAGTTGCTTGCTCCGGAAAAAGGTTCTTGATATATTATCAACAAGCTTATTTTCAAACACCACAGGCAATAAACTTTCAGCTTTTCGTTGATCATTATGCATCCTCCATATGTATAAATCCCATGCGGCGACAGAGTTTAACGCGGAAGATGCAGAAACAACATATCATAACAACCTTTGCATCAGATGGTGGTGTATGTAAGCAGTGCATGCAGGCACTGGAGTGTTTGTACACCGGTGTCTGTCGTTTTTCATCATCAGTGATGGGGGACTCATAATAGGAGCTTTATGGTACACAATGTTACATCGTTTTTAATGTTGACACATGCTTATGGTGGCACAAGAAACTGGAGCTGAGTGAATAGTACGGCCGCGTTGAACAGTATTTCTGTCTTAACACGATCTGTCAGCCAGGTGTTGGAGGAAAATCAATCTTCCATTTTAAACATTTTGTTGAAAATACAATGTACGCTCAATGTGCTGACAAACTTAGAACAAGGGTTTGGTTTGGTTTGTTGCTTTGTGCCGCACTCGGCAATATTCCAGCTATGTGGAGTCTGTAAATAATCGAATCTGGACCAGACAATCCAGTGATCAACAGCATGAGCATAAATCTACGCAATTGGGATGCGATGACATGTGTCAACCAAGTCATTGAGCCTGACCACCCGATCCCGTTAGTCAGCTTTTACGCCAAGCATGGGTTACTGAAGATCAATTCTAACCCGGACCTTCACGGGGAGACAAGCATGGGTTACTGAAGATCAATTCTAACCCGGACCTTCACGGGGAGACAAGCATGGGCTACTGAAGACCAATTCTAACCCGGACCTTCACGGGGAGACAAGCATGGGTTACTGAAGACCAATTCTAACCCGGACCTTCACGGGTAGACAAGCATGGGCTACTGAAGACCAATTCTAACCCGGACCTTCACGGGTAGACAAGCATGGGTTACTGAAGACCAATTCTAACCCGGATATTCACGGGTTTAGAACAAGGGACCGACCGGCATTCAGTCCAACGATCAAATGTTTGAAGCATATACAAGGGACGCAACTCTGAACAGCGAAGAGCGGCGCTGAAGATGACATGGCATCGCGTGTCCCCACTTTGTGTAATGATTAATATGTCTCGTTCACAGATATGTCTCAGTATACAATTTTCCGTAACGTATGGCTTTAGAAACGTGAGACAGTATTAAACACTTGCTGATTTAATGATATCATGTTCTCTGTTCACCGTGTGTAATAGTGCATGGCGATAAAACCATGTTCGATTTGCACTGAAATCGCGATCTTTTCAGCCATAAGAAGTCTCATTTATTCTGTCTCGACAGTCTTGTTATAAGTCTTCGGGAGGTTCTACGATCCGAGTTTAGGAAATAGTCTACTCGGCAGCGTGAAACACCACTGTAAATATTTTACGTTTGGGAAGCTACGGGTCTTTCAAATTCGTTGGTTTTAGTGTAGCTATAAATCTTTCTAAATTGAGGCAGACAGGCCATTCTTGGTGTGGTCAGGATAACTCCATCCCACATTACCATAATTGTGGCCATCCCCATAACGGCAAACTGATGATGACTTTGTGAATAGGAACCGATCCTCCGGTTTATTTGTGACCAAATTACCTCTCTCTGCCCCTTCCATGACGCCTTGAGGAATTGGACCGCCAGCGTCACGTTCGTTAACAGAATTACAAGATCCTCTGCGGCAAGGGTCAATATCTCACCGGGTCTAACCGTGCGTGGACAATGGCCAGACATACTCATGTCACTTACTGGACATACCCTAAAGGATCTGTATTCATGAGCCAGAACAGTTCCCCTAGGAAGTGTGCTCCGATCATAGAAACGCAGGGGACTACATGACAAGGCGGAAGAAGTTCCCTCACACGGTACTTTGCCCGGAGGTCCAGATTAATACACATGAACCGAGACTACTGGGGAGGCCGTTATGCCAAAAGATTGTTTATGTCTTATTTTCGTCAATGTCGTTATATTATTCCGCAGGATAATAGAGTTTAGTTCATTTAGAACGTTCGTAAATAGAATATTCATGAAATTAGTGGGGTGAGATTTTATAGGTACCGACGAAATTACCCCTCGCGTATATAAACATATGATATCATATTTGTTATGAACAATATGTTTCTGCTCAGGTCGTTTCATTAGATTACTGTGCGTATAGAAATAACGCGTAAATGCCGTAAAAGGTAACATACATTCTGTAAAACATTTTACAACTGCGTGGTAGAAACTGAAAACGAACTGAAAAACACATGCATCTTGTGGCTGTGTGTACAGATAGTCATCACAGATCAGGCCAATCTGTAAATCTGATATTTAATTTACACGCAGTCTCAGTTTGCAATCCTCCCGAATGGGTTAATAACAACACTCATATGCGTAGGTTACATTGAGATGGGTATGACAATCTAATTAGGGCTGTAACCTGAAGTCGTATATGGAACTACAACAATGTTATGAGACGTGTGTCGGGAGTTTATAACCTTTACAAATACCAAATACTGCTGACAATGCATTAATCACATTGTACGCCTACTTCTTATCACACAGATAAAAGTCGAGGGGTTGTGTGGCGGAGATAATGTAGTGCAGGTATCCGAATCTCACCATCACCCTACCAATCACACCAACCATATCCTGGACATAAAGGCGGGTTCATCAGTCCATGGCTATGACTGACTGACTGGGTATGGTTTTACGCCGTTTTTAGTAATATTCCAGCAATATCACGGCCGTGGACACCAGAAATAGGTTTCACAAATTGTACCCATGTGGGGAATCGAACCCGAATCGAATCGAACTTTTTCAGTAAAATATGTTCATTTCAGACACTAGTTGTTAGTCTAGTGCTCCATGACTACCTCTAATTGTATGGTAAATATGAAACGTCAGTGAAAGTGTCAAAACTGAATCCCACCTGGACGGACAGTGTCCGTATTAAATGCTGCTGGCTAACATTATCCACCTGTTCTCTGTTCTGGAGAAGCATATACAACACACATGAATGATGACAGCTTGTTGGTGGACTTACCTCTGGTATGTAGACCCTGGGGTCAAGGTCGGTCACAGCAGGCCACACCACCAGCTGCTGAATCTCCTGGACACGTTCATAGTTCCTCACCCACTTCATCTTGTCCTCCAGCTGTTCTGTAACCCAGAAACATCTCGTCAGTTATCGTGTCAGACACATTGTCACGGGAACTAATGTTTATCACCGACAGGACAGTTCACGCGTTGGAAATACCGTCACCCTCAAAGTGCAAGGGTGTGTGAGTTTTGTATGTGATTGCGGTTTCACCAAAGTGTTTAACCTCTGATGCTCGCACTGCATCACTTCGTGGGGATCTTCCCCCATACCGACTTCACGCGTAGTGTTAGAAAGGAAACACTGCTAAACTATACTTCCCATAAATAACGTAATCGGCAAACACGTGGACACTCATCAACCTAATTCTGGCGAGAGAGGGATGCTTTAGGTAGCTATTGCAACAGTTAATTATTTTGACAAAGAACCTCCACAACTATCCACGGCAGTGGATACACAAAGGTCACCTGTATATCCAAAACGAATACTAGTAATAGCCATTTGCGCAGTAAATCGGGGTTTTGATATTTTGCTAGTTGTCTTATTTCAGTCACGACTTCATGAGTTAATTTATTCTCTGAAAGATGGGGTAAATCAACCTTTTGTCACAACTACCGTTTCTCCACACATCAGGATTGCCCACCAATTCTGCTTTAAATTTATAACATTTAAACCACCCGTGAAGATCCGGGTTAGAATTTGTCTTCAATGCTTGTAAGAGGCAACTAACGGTATCAGGTGGTCAGGCTCGCTGACTTGGTTGTCACATCGTATCCAACTGCATAGATCGATGATCATGCGGTTTATCACTGGATCGTCTGGTCCGGACTCGATTATTTACAGACCGCCGCCATATTGCTGAGCGCGGTGTAAACAACAAACAAACAACTATTTCATACACATGTAAAACAACTTGGGTTAAATAAATGAAATGCGTTCTTTGTTATTAATGAATACCAGCGGATCCCTCCGATCATTAAATAGCCGATTCCCTCTAATTTTCAAAGTCATCATCTTCACAATTGGGTTGTTCTAAAGTTTGTTTTTTGATTTCACCCAGCGAGCGAGTTTGAAATCAGAGGATCTCTGTGCTAGATTGCATTGCTTTTTGCAACCTGAGTTGATTTATGACTGGTAACTGAAGCTCGCCAACCATCAGTTATAATGCAAAATCAGCTTCACTCCAGCCGCATTGTCACATACTTTTTCTAAGGGGCATACATCCTAAGTTCAACTGTTCTGAATGATACTCCTGCTGGCGTGTTTACGTCATTGCGTCCCTCTCATTTATCAACACGGTAATGAAGCCAATTTGTAAACGACGAGAGGTTTTTGAGTAATATGTTATCCGCTATAGCAGTTGTGTTTTGGGGGTTTTCACGACAAACACAGACACACATTTGACCACCAGCCAAACATTCATTCACGCTATCACCCCACAATCAAGAACCTGTCAGGAAGTACGTCGGTCGTATATTGGTTATAATTATGTCTCCTCGATCTGGATTGAACAGTTCCAAATGACATGTCCTAAATACGGATTATTACACGCCCGGATTAGCAGATGTTCGTATTAAAAAGTATTGTTCCTTGCTAATGCACAAGTTTTCAAAGTCTTCCAGATTGCCCGGTATCCAGGTAGACGGTGTCCGGATTAACGAGAGGCCTTGGTTGAGAGGAAGACTCCCATGGACGCGGGTAAAAACTGATTCCCACTTATCAATGCTGGTAGTAGGACTGACAATAATAGCCCGGGTGTTCAGATTTAGTGATTTGGTTGATGGCCTTCCATTGTTCCCTGATTAGTGCTCACGATATCAATCACTGGTTTGTGCAATCCATACTGAACTGATGATAGGGTGCTGTCATATATTTGAAATATTGGTGCAAGAGGCGTTAAACAACATACACGTATAAACTCGGACACACATACACACAGACAGACACACACACACACACACACATCGAGAGTTCCAACACAATACCGACTCACACCTAACACAAAAACACAGTTATTGTTAATGAGCTCGTATAACAGCTTCAGGGCTTGCTCTGCTCGTTCAAGCATCTCTTAAATTCACACTGCGCTAAATAGCATTGTCAATTAAATAACTGCATTTGGTTCTGGGTTTTTGGTGAAGTTGGTGGTAGCAGCTGAGTTGTCAGTCGAACCAGACCTGTCATGTTTTTTTCTCAAGTAGAATGGAATACTCTGTTCGGGAAATGTGACAACCAATTATGTGAACATGAGTGGTTTTCAGTTTTGGAAGAAGTGCAAAAAAGTAGACATGTTATATTCTGTTGCAAACTTATCCCTGCATCGATGCTGAATAGCTGCATGTACCTTTAACTGAATAAAACTGTCTGGACTAAATCGTATTCCATTGGACAGTGGTCAAGATGACTCTAAAGTTCATATTGGCCTTGCACTGAGAAAGTGATCAAGTGATTGGTTTGTACGGATCTATTTTAGTTCAACCACGTGTATTGTTAGTTTCATGTGGGAGCCAAGTCTAACGTGAGCGAGTTTGTATATCGCATCAATACTACGAGGAGTCTGTTGAATACCTATATATCAGGTATAACACGGGGTGGCAGCGTGTTGTTTAAGACGAGTGAGTGAGTGCGTGAGTGCGTGAGTGAGTGAGTGGGTTTTGACACGGCTTTAAGCGAAACTGACACAGACCGAGATGCAGACTATCATTGCGAACCCATGAGAACAGTGTTGTGTTGATGGTCCAATGAAAGACTTTGTTTTAAATCTGTACAACAGTGCATTATCAATTAATAATGATAATTAGTCCTTTTATATTACGCTAAATCCGCACCGACAGTATGCTCATAGTGCAGATACCCCAAGCTGCCTGCGAAGCGCTAGGTTGTATATAGTCACGACTTGTCCCACCGGGTACCCATTTTCTGCTGGGTGAACAGAGGCAATTCTGAACAAACTCACTTGCCTAAGGTTAGTCCAAGAAACTCTCAGGATTCAACCGTGGTCAAAAATGTCGGTATCACACTCTGGGTTTTACAACTAATAATGTAAAGTCCAAGGAAAACAGTCTCGACTTTTCACAGACACTACTGAGCCGCCTGAAAGGTTGGGAAAAAATATGATTGTGAAGACCACAGGTGTTTGCGAGAAGATTAAGCATCAGAAATCCCTTCAGTGACAATTAGCATAAAAAGGAATGTATTTGTTTCAATCTGTAAATCCAATTGAAGGACCTCCTGACAATATTGCTGTGTTATTGCTTAAAGGTCATGACAATACTCACTCACTGTCTCAGACTACACAACCTGTTTTAATTTATTTCAACTTACTTAATGAGTTTTCCATCTTCTCAAGTGATTCAGTCACCTGCTGCTTCTCGAGTTCGTCTGCCGTGTACTTCCGGATGTTATTGAGCAGAAGCGGAAGTTTGGTGCAGTGCTGCATGGGAGCTACAAGAAGGTCAGAGAGCTGGAGACGGTTGCAGCGTGCGTCTTGCTGACCCCACTGTAACACAGAATAGTCACTGTTAGGTCATGTCGTGCAATCTGGTAACAAATAGTGCCACGGCTCTGTAGCTCACCTTTGTCAGAGTGAAATGTAACAAACCCAGTCATAGCATAAGCTGCTGTCAGCGGTGATGCTCGAGTATATTAACATCAATTCAAAAGAAGACGTTTGATGCTCAGAGGTCATCATCAGAGGAATATCTAGCCTACATGTGCGCTAAACGTCATTACGGTATTTATAATATGATGATAATGATGGTAAAAGAAACTGTGTTACGGATAATGCTAAGACTGAACACCACGCCGTACGGGCAAGCACACACTGGACATTATTACCCCGGATAACCCTAGCTGCTTGTGAGGCGATTTAAGGTTAATGTCATATGACTTATCCCACCGAGTACCCATTTTCTGCTTGGTGAATAGAGGCACTTTTGAACAAACTCATTTGCCTAAGGGAAGACCACTGATGTTTCGTTATTGGGCAGGACTGAAGTTCCAGAAATTCTCACGAATCAAGCTGCCAAACACGGTCACCCATCCAAAGACGCGCCCAACGTCAGTTAACGTCACTGATTTGTGACTTGGTCTCTATGCACAAGACAACACACCACCACGGATTTGAGCCTGATACTCTTTCAAATTTGTTTTGTTCTTGTGTGTAGAATGACCAAAGCGTCCATTCAAATTCTAAATGATAATTTCAATGGCACAATGATTAATATACACATTTCTTACCTAGCTCATTAATCGTAACTGGACGATATATGAATATTAAATAGGAACATGATTAATAATAGAGCATGCAAATTTATGGATAACAACGTTTTGCTTATTTATTCAGTAGTTATCCAAAAAGGTGTATACTTTATTATTGACTCACCTACTTCTAGAATGCCGATCAAACAATTAGGAACATGATTGATTGACAGGCCACTACATGCGTTCACTTGACTTTAGCCAGGTGAGCTACAGGGTGAGTCACATGAGTCTGATGCAGAAACATTAATGTTCTTGTTTTCCTGTTATAAATGTCAGGTAGAACAATCTTCAGATAACATCCCATGGTTGGATGCTTTTGTCATTACAGTTCCATGAATTGAAAGGTCATGAAATATCAGTCGTCTATCCCATTATGTCCTTTTTCATAATTAAAAGAGATCATCAAGATCGTAACATAACTTTGGTAATTTTGAACTTCATGGAAGCAGCTTTCTACTGAAAACATGGAAGCGTAGTACGCCATTTTACGACGCTCTTTGAGGATTCCTGGTAGTTAAAGTCTCAATGCAGACGTTGCTGCCAGTAGAAGTCGAATTAGTGGATTGGATGGTCAGCCTCGGTTACTTAGTTGATTGTATGTCATCGTCACCTATGGCATGAGACAGTAGAATATCAGTCGCTAGTTAGTCTTACCCAGAATCCATTATTTACGGGATGAAATATGAAGGTTAAATGAAAGAGAATATCAGGAAATCCTGAAGAATTGGTTACCTTTTCAAATTCAGCAAACTCAGCATTTTGCCGTAGTTTCTCCAGGTATGATAATGCATTTGTGTAGTTGAGACAATATGTGTGATAGACGGCGCCGTCTTTGGAGTGAGCAGAAAACTGTAAGAAAAAACATTACATTGAATATTAAACACATCTCCTCTAACAGTGCATTTACACTTGCATCCCAAAACACCAAAGATGAATCAACACCTGAGTCAATTAAAACCAAAGGCAGCTCCATTGGTAGATGTCAATAGTTAGAATAATATGCACATAAGAATGAAGTACACCGTTTAACTACTATTCCTCGTTTCTAATAAAGTCCGATAAATACCAAGGAATTAACATGCAAATAATTGAAGTACACCGTTCCCATGACTCGTCTTGTGAATTTGTCTTGTACTCATGTTTATATATTAGATTGATAGATAATCCTTTGTTCCCCCCATAAAAGGAGTATTTCACATGTGACCAACGATTCTATAGACGCACTGAGCAAGCAGAGCGAAATGCTTGAATGAAAGGTTCAAAGAGTTCCGCATCAAAACATCAGTTGGGAAAACATCTTCATTTAATATTCATTTATATCCCGATGTGTTAATGTAATATAAAAATAATGTGTCACGTTCGTCCAGAATAAATCGACGAGAGAATTATGCTAATAGTGTGTTAAAATCAAGCTGAGAATCCTGTGGGATACAAAGGTACTAACAAGCTGACTTGGGTCGATAACAAAAAGGTTATATAAATATTTATATATAAATTTTTAGAGACACCTTACATTTGTTCCCAATCGTCATATGGTTGTAATATTGGCAATATGCTGGGTATTTGTGTTACATGTAATAATACTTTTTTAAGAAATATGGTTTTGTTTGAAAGCAGGGGGCTGTGGTTTCTCCCACGAGCATGCAGCGAAAAGTATTTTTTCAACAAATAATTGAATTCTCTCACACACACCCCTGCCGTTCCCCACAAACACAAGCATCGATTCCTGAAGGTGCACGAGAATCGCCTCGCATAAACAAAATATTTGCCGCCATTAACAGATGACACCGACTCGATAATGCAACCCAGAGAAGCGTTGGAGGCAGCTCATATGTAGCATCCGCAAATTAAACTCATCTTCATACATTTCCATACATGATCACATAAACCGACGACTTGCCAGCAATCTCAAGGCTACAGTCTGTACACTAATGATCATCAAACAACTTGGTTTCCTACAAAACCCTGACAGATCAATAGACAGAGATACAGATCGATATTTCTTTCTTTCATGTGTGATTTTTAAGTGGCAGTTAATTTAATTCAGATTTGGAACCAAGCGTGAGGCGACACCATAAGCGTCTGAACTCGATGGTCCGAACTTCTACACCGGAGAAGAAAGACGCAAAAGCTGTATTTATGGATGAAATCGATACCAAATACGATTCAAAAACCTCCCGGATACTGTATCAGTGACCAGATGAAGATTAATTACATCGGATGTGACGGGGTGACGGTCAGTGTCGACACCTCGGGGCTACATGGCCTGTGATCATTGCTTATACTCAGAGGACGGCGGTCATTCGTCCTGACCGTGACTCCGCGGTAATAGGGCTTATTCCCGGACCATGTCAGGAGGGGGTCAACACAGAAGGATTGATTGACCTCATCAATCACTACTTCAGGGTTTATCTAAGGACCGTACTTTGGGATAGAGGTGCGACTGTAATATCTACACGCGTTGGGATATTTCTAGTGTACAGCTATCATAACTGGAGTTTCATCTGGTTTTGAAGTGGTTGAATATTTATATGTTTACTTTGTACTGTAAGTTTGCTTTTTATTTCTTGTTGTTTGCTGTTGAACGCCACAAGCAGCAATATTCCAGCTATGTAACCGTGATCTGTATATAATCGAATCTGGACCAGACAATCCAGTGACTGATTCCATGTGCAAATTAGTGCAACGGAGACATCAATGATATGAATAAAATAATTCAGCAAGTCTGACAACCTGATTCCGTTTCCGTCTCTTACGACAAGCATGAATGATAGCAGACAAAGTCTAACCCTATCCTCGCAGTGAGTGAGTGAGTATAATTTTACGCCGCTTTTGGCAATATTCCAGCAAGATCACGACGGGGGGACACCAGAAATGGGTTTAAGACATTGTGCCCATGGAGGAATCGAACCCGGGTCTTCGGCGTGACGATCGAACACTTTAACCACTAGGCTACCCCACCTCTTCTCACGCATGAGGGTATTAAAACCTATAAGCATTTACCTGATTGGAAATATATGGACATTGAGACTGGAAGTGCAGACCCAATGTCCTCCCGTACGACACTTGAATCAATATATCCTAAAGATTACATTCAGGGTGCATTTGTCTGAGGAATGATGTGCATGTACGAAGTAGGTGACATCACGTTAGTTTCAAAACACACGCTTTTACAAAACCATATAAACCCATAGCCAGTTTAGCGAAGAAAAGTGCCCTACCTAATCGGCTAGATTTGCAACATAGCGCACATTTATGAGAAAATCGGTCACGTGAAAGACCATCGAGCAATGTTCCCAGATAACTACACCATATATTGAGCTGGAAATAGTGGGCAAATAAAAATGTAATTGTGAAAGGGAGGTTATAAATGGGGGTTTAAGAGCTGGCTAAAGATTGATTAAGTAAACCGAGTTCCGTCCTGAGCAGAACTGATCCAAGTATTCATCAGTCTTGCTACAGTCACTTCTAAGCTACCAAATCGTGTGCAAATGGGCTCTGGAAACACGACCAAATATTGACGGTTGGACCCAATTTGATGGCCTTTAGGTCCCCACTCAACGAACTGCTGCCATGCGCCCAAACCATGCCTCATTAATTACAGATTGGCAGCTTGAGGACAAGTTTTTGCAGAACAGAACCATTTTTACGTATTTGCATTGGTAAGCGACATGTCTTTGGAAGTATTCAATGCTCGATAAGGCCTTTACGTTCAGTAAACCCAACCAATGAGATTGCACTCGGAGATTTGGTCTGTCTGCCATTTTTATCAGTTCAGAATATTGAGGCTCAGACCAAGAAACCGATAAAACAATTCCTATTGACATGTATTAGCTGTTTTCAAACCATTCTTTCTGGAACGCCAATGTCATGAGCTCACCCTTCCCGTGGCGTTTCCACTAAGTGTATTCATTGAAAATAAAGAAAGTGTATAATTTCGACAGCTAGGACTTGACTCATAAAATGCTTCATTATTTCGGAAGACAATACCCAGTTTCCTCCATCTTTGCATTCCAGATTTCACTGTTGTCAATATCTTGACGAAGCTATTGGTGGTTTCAGATCAGAAACGTATTACAATGCATTTAAATGCACGTTTTAGTTGCACTTCAGAGTAAGCCCTTTGTGACGGTATCAATATTGCAGCACTTTTAGAAGAGATAAGGTAAACGTGAAACATTCAGATAGCATTTGGCAGGCAGGACAGAATAACAACCTCCTGGCGAGGCTCGTGCTCAGCGAGAAAAACGACGCTGAGATGGCTCGTAAACCGTGTGGAAACTTGCTTTCAGTACAACGATGTGGTTGATATGTCCGGTTTTGGTCGTGGCAAATATTCATTCATTTCTGAAACGTTTGTTTTATTCCTTTTAGACTCTGAACGGGTTCGTTCGTCAACCAATACAAACAAGCAAGTGAGTGAGTTTTACGCCTTCTTTAGCAATACTCCAATATCACGAAGGGGGGACACCAGAAATGGGCTTCACATGGGTAACCATGTGGGGAATCGAACCCGGGTCTTTGGAGTGACTAACGAACGCTGTAACAACCTGAGTGAGTAAGTATGGTTTTACGCCGCTTTAGCAATATTCCAGCAATAGCACGGCGGGGGACACCAGAAATGGGCTTCACACATTGTACCCATGTGGGGAATCGAACCCGGGTCTTTGGCGTGACGAGCGAAGGCTTTAACCACTAGGCTACCCCAACGCTCCCATAACAAGAGTGAGTGAGTGAGTGAGTTGAGTTTTACGCCACACTCAGCAATATTCCAGCTATGTGTCGGCGGTCTGAAATAATCGAGTCTGGACTAGACAATCCAGTGATCAACAACATGAGCATCGATCTGCGCAATTGGGAATCGATGACACGTGTCAACCAAGTCAGCGAGCCTGACCACCCGATCATGCACCATCACTTGCCTGACGGGTATACAATTACAAAACTGCCAGATGTTAAATGTTACCAATCCATTGTACCGGGTACCCACTCATTGCTAGGGGAACAGATAATCATAGTAGAGATGTCTGTACTCACTCTTTGGAACGCTTTGATGAGGACCTTTGTACGGCCGAACTCCGTGCAGCTCATATCCTTAAGCAGCGCGGAAAGGAAATCTTTGCAGAATGTGTAACTCACCTGCAAAGTCATAGATACCATGTAAAACATCGTGTTAGAAAACAAATGGGCATTATTGCACAGAAAATGGACTGATTAAACCGCGTGTAACCACCGTATTCTACGTACAGGTGACTTCGACTGCGTAAATATGACATGAAGAGAGGCAAGGATTAATGTGGTTTCATCACAAATACTAGCGTGTCTCATTTGAAGGTACACTCGGCTCCAATCGGATTATTCCGCTACCTTCAGAACACCTCGGGGACACATGACGTAATGATATTGCATGCATTCACTGTAAACCACGTGTTTCCTCTGCATATAGTTCTATGACAACACCCTGTTCTGAAGACTGTTTTTCAACAGACTCGAGGCTTGATTCAATTTGAAGAATAAAGCAAACGGGGACAATTTGAACACCTATTTGTCTGAAGGCTGAAATCAGTTCGTAATGGTCCCGTGCACGATACTAGTCCCAATGGATTCCTGTTAGTGTTGGGTGGGTAGAGCCGATGTGGAGTGCTTATGATTGGTTTGTCGTTTAACGCAGCACTCAGCAATATTCCAGCTGTGTGTCGGCGGTCTGAAATAATCGAGTCTGGACCAGACAATTCAGTGATGAACAACATGAGCATCGATCTACTTAATTGGGATACGATGACATGTGTCAACCAAGTCAGTGAGCATGACCACCCAATCCCGTTATTCGCCTCTTACGACAAGCATGGGTTACTGAAGATCAATCTAACCCGGGTCTTCACGGGTAGACAAGCATGGGTTGTTGAAGGCCACTTATTACCCGGATAGGGCTGGTGGTTATACGTACATAGCAGAGTTCGTCAAGGTTGCCGAAGATGTCTTGAGGCTCGGCGAACATCAGGAACCCCTCCACTTGTAACTTCTTCAGTGGCTCCATGAAACACTGGAACGGAGATTATCCTTTCACATCGATATTTATCCATAAGGATTCCTTGACAAAAACTCTACACTGTATGACAATTGATGACTTTCCTTTTATTTCGAACAGTATACCAGCAACTTCAGCTATTTGTGTCTACGTTTTACAAACGTCGCGTGACAATCGAGCACACTTTGTCTACAAATACTTCAAAGGGAGTCACACGAATCGTGCTCAAAAGCTCTTTAATCAGGTTTAAAACATTCAAAACCGTAGTAAAGTTTTCAAAATGTTTCATGTGACGCATCATCAACAAAATACATCAATACAACATCGACTTTTTACTGAATCTGCAGGTTTTTTGGATATCTTGGGCTGGGATTCTTTTTCTTAAACAAACTATTGTCAAGAATCACCGAAAAATATTAAACATTCGGATTTAACCGGTATATCTCACACAGCTGACATTGTGGTGATGCTCCGATGGCTTACTTTCACTTACATGAGTAATGCTTCTTTAGCTTACTTTCACTTACATGAGTAATGAATCTTTAGCTTACTTTCACTTACATGTGTAATGCTTCTTTAGATTACTTTCACTTACATGAGTAACGCTTCTTTAGCTTACTTTCACTTTCACATGTGTAATGCTCTGTTTGCTTACTTTCACTCACTTACATGGTAATGCTTCTTGTTTGCTTACTTTCACTTACATGTGTAATGCTTCTTTAGATTACTTTCACTTACATGAGTAATGCTTCTTTAGCTTACTTTCACTTACATGTGTAATGCTCTGTTTGCTTACTTTCACTTACATGAGTAATGCTTCTTTAGCTTACTTTCACTTACATGAGTAATGCTTCTTTAGCTTACTTTCACTTACATGAGTAACGCTTCTTTAGCTTACTTTCACTTACATGTGTAATGCTCTGTTTGTCTACTTTCACTTACATGTGTAATGCTCTGTTTGTCTACTTTCACTTACACGTGTAATGTTCTGTTTGCCTACTTTCACTTACACGTGTAATGCTCTGTTTGCCTACTTTCACTTACACGTGTAATGCTCCTTAGGCCTACTTTCACTTACACGTGTAATGCTCTGTTTGCCTACTTTCACTTACACGTGTAATGCTCCTCTGGCCTACTTTCACTTACATGTTTTAGTACCATGAGATGATCAATGAGGAAGACGCACTCGCTCTTGAAGAGTTCCCACACCGCCTCTCGCCGCTTCCGCTCAGTCTCAGACAAGCTGGTGCATTCCTGCTGCTTGTCAGAACTCGCGATCAAGTCGGACCAGTGTAAGTTCTGAAAAAATACATTGAATTTATTGTTTTGTACAGAATATACTGCAAGAGACACATGCACACGTGCATGCACACAGACACCACCTGCTTCTGCTACTACGCGCATAAAATATTTGAAATAACATGTTTGTGAAAATATTAATCTTATTACGTTCTGTGATCAGCTTATATGGCGCGATCCATTTCAAGGTCAATCCGCTTATAGGGTGAGCAAGGACGTTGGTAATGCCATTATGTTTTAAAGTAATGTAATGAAGTTACTGCTTGCAGCAAGCTAAGCATCAAAATCAGAAAATCTGGTACAAAATCCTAGTTATCGGAACCTGTAACCACTATGGCGTGCAACAATTTGTAATAAATTGTTGAGTAATAGACCTCTGGAACGCCCTCCTATAACACCTGTCACCCCCACTGACAGCACCACCACCCCACCCCCACCCACCATGATCCACACATCTCGCCATATTCTTCACAGATTGCGAAATATTTTGTATTATTTTTAATTTATTGTCCTACTAATCCACACAGAATCATTGACACACAGGTGATGAAGCTAGAAATAACACTCGTGTACCTCGCCACCAGGATCCTCTGATCACGGATTCGAATTCAAACTTACTTTCTCAAGTGATAAAAGTCAACGAAGGACGGACAACGAATGAGTCCTGAGGACGACACTCACACAAACATTATGATACATGTCACGGATAAATGATTTTATTGTTGTAACATCTGACAAACATTTTACCTTTATCTGATATAACTTGAGAAATGTTTTGCGTTTGAGAGCTTTTAAGCTATTTCGGAATAACAATGATAAGAAATGTTTTATGATGGGAAGCATTTGGTATGACTGGAACATTTCCTCAGCAACATTCTCAGATCAGAATGTATCTTACAATTCGCTGGCAGTTGGGCTCAAAGCTATTCCAGGAATCTTCCACATGGAAACACACCTGCTGCCTAGGTAACGCGTCGCAGGTTGTAGCAGCCTTTTGTTTGAGGAAGTAATACCATCCGAATTTGTCATGCCCCGAGGCAACAAATGCCTGTCAGCATCGAAAATCATTTTTTATGATTGTCATTTTTTATGACGTGGAAGATAAAAACATTAGCATAAACATATCAAGGGTTGATTAGAAGTGGAAAAATGAGTTCTTTGGCTTAAGGTCGTTTTCAACAGTAATCCCATGATGTTAAGGCGATTCAGACTGATGAGGGAGGCAAGCCCTAAGTGATGACGAACGCAGGTATAGAGCCGAATACTCTGGAGTGAGTAATTGTCTTTAGTTTTACGCCGCACTCAGCAATATTCCAGCTTTATGGCGACAGTCAGTAAACAATCGAGTCTGGATAAATCTAGTGATCAACAGCATGAGCATCGATCTACACAGCTGGGATACGATGACATGTGTCAACCAAGTCAGCAAGCCCGACACCCCGATCCCGTTAATACGACAAGCATGGTACCAATTCTAACTCTCTACACGGGTCTGTATACCCTGGACATATAATCCAGAAACCATCTTTATGAGAATGAACGTCCGTTAACGAAATAGGCTAGATCGTTAACACCATCCGTCAAGCTCTCATGCAAAAATGGACAAAATTAGTTATGAAATCGACCCCTGATGATATCTCTGAAAATATCGGAAGTGTTCCAAACCAGGTAGAGAAACAAAATGAATTGTCTTGTCTTGTCACATGTCAATACTACGCAATCAGATAGATCAAAAACCCAATACAAGAACGATGCATGCTCTACAGTTGGCATTTTACTCCCTCGCAAAACTCTCATTTATCTCCCCAATCAAACAATAAAACCGTTTTCACTAATGAACCAAGACGTTACCATGGAAATATCAACGATAACCACAATACCATAGAGCTGCCACAAAAGGTGAAACCATGGTACTGTCACAATTAGGTGTCTATCCTAAGTAGAGGTCTATTAGCGTTTCGGGTTTGATACGGCGGATGTGACGTATAGGACACAATATATCACCCTCCACAGAAAGTTCCTGCACAATCATAAATCTAGTTTTATTCATAAACGCAAACCAAACTGGATTGTTCCTGTCACCAAATATTCTTATCCTCCCATCTAGGAATGAACCATTATTGGTATGTCATTTTGGAGGAGATAAAGATCCAGAGAGCCAAGCAGGTAATCAATACAGCCGCCTCGCGCCATGCTCGTGTGTGTATGTGTCTAATTAAGTAAACTGCCCCATCATATCCAGCGTCAGCTGAAGAGTGGTACAAACCGTGGGACACCCACAGATTACTGCCCACAATCGAAGGCAATCACACTTTGGCCTCGGCTAGGTGCAACGTCCGTGCACCCCCGGGGGACAAGACATAAACTGGCTCCAGTAATCACAGACGAAGCGGCGAATCCTGGCATTATCCTCTTACAGTTTTATTGCTGGTTTCAGTCCATGCTTTCTACCTTCCCCCGTCCCCTGAATCACCACCGTCTGGGCAGATGGTGCCAGTTTGGTGAGGCAGGGTGTTACATTGGTGGTCCCATATGACGCCACGACGGGGCATGGTGTTACTATTTTCATATGAAGCTACAATGTCATATGATGTAACTATGAAAACCAACGATGCCACGTGTTACTGCGTGATAGCATGTTACTGCGTGATAGCATGCTGTCACGTGGTGTGTAATATCCCGATGTCATAGCATGCTCTCAGGTGATTGTGATGTCCAGATGATACATGTTACTGTGTGATAACAAGCAGTCAAGTGATGTTGTGTGATATCCCGATGTCACATGTTACTGTGTGATAACAAGGTGTCACGTGATGTGATATTCCGAAATTACACGTTACTGTGTGATAACAAGCAGTCACGTCATGTGTGATATCCCGATGTCACATGTTACTGTGTGATAACAAGGTGTCACGTGATGTGATATTCCGAAATTACACGTTACTGTGTGATAACAAGCAGTCACGTGATGTGTGATATCCCGATATTACATGTTACAGTGTGATAACAAGCAGTTACATCATGTGTCATATTACATGTTACAGTGTGATAACAAGCAGTTACATCATGTGTGATATCCCGATATTGCATCTTACTGTGTGATAACAAGGTGTCACGTGGTGTGTGATATCCCGATATTACATGTTACTGTGTGATAACAAACTGTCACGTGATGTGTGATATCCCGATATTACATGTTACTGTGTGATAACAAACTGTCACGTCATGTGTGATATCCCGATATTACATGTTACTGTGTGATAACAAACTGTCACGTGATGTGTGATATCACGATATTACATGCTACTGTGTGATAACAAGGTGTCACGTGATGTGTGATCACATGGTACTGTGATACCACCCAGAGAACCTATGCTGCTTGTCCAATACTACTGCGACACTACATTGTGAAGCTATACCCCAATGATAATCATTGTAAGACAGAACACCCTATTATGACATCACTATGGCGACACCATATCCCCGCTGTTAAGACAAAAATCCATAACCCTGCGTTTGCAGCAACATTTCGCGCCTCCCAAACCAGGTCAGTTCACTGAATAAGTATGTGCTCTCTGTCCATATTGGCATAGATGAACCAGCTTTTGTAGCAAAGTGGGAGCTAATGGATTGAACTCTAGACGAGCTAGTCAAGAGCAAATATTCTTAAACAGAACAATGATTGACACAAAGAGACATGGGCGTCCGCTGTCAATATGACACGCGTGTTCTCATGTGCCATGGGTTCTTGCTGGCGCACCCTCGAGACAGATTGATGCCAGTTCAGCGAAAATATCAAGATGAGGTTATCGGCTCAGCACCGAGGAAGCATAATGGCTTATACTTGAGGGGGAAGACCTGGCAGCGATGAGGAGGAACCTGGTTGTTTGTCAGTATTTCCAGTGAATACTGGGGACAAGATCTCCAGCAAATACCACTAGGTTGTCCAGCAGAGTGAAATGTTTGTAGTTGATAGGAAACATTACCTCGCAACATACAATCGATTTGTAAAGTATACAGTTATGTGTGTTGACACAATAAATAGCATCCATGAGGTATTCGAAACCTTTGTGAAGGGTACTGAAAGAATTTGAGGACTTAATATTTAATATATTCCTAATCAGTCAGATGTAAATTTGATTTATAGGTATGTCCTTTTTAAAAGCTGAGAGGTATATTTACGTTCTACCATGACCTTGAATATGCTTCATTTTGATTAGTTAGAAAAAGGATCCTGTTTCTTCATTTAAATTCACACATACTCAGAATGTAAACATATATCCATTAACGTCAGAACTACATTCGTCTGCCCTGGTTATAACACCACCGCATAACGCCGAAGACCCGGGTTCGAATCCACACATACTCCGCCGTGATATTGCTGGAATATTGCTAAAAGCGGAGTAAAAACTGACTCACTATAACACCACCGTGTATCCAGGAAGGTTCAGGCTGTTATAACCAGGCTGGCACTATATCCAGTGGACAGACAAGTGGTCAGCTAACTCCTGGTGATTGAGATAAGGGGGGACAGCTGCATATTTAAAATGAGCAAATATCCATACTCTAAAATTACAGGGACGTGAAATTATATCAAATGTAATTACATACAAGAGGAATGATGAGTATTTTCTTGACCAATATTCCAGCATCATCATGGCGGAAACACACCAGAAATGGGCTACGCACATTGTAACCATGTTGAAAATCGAACGAGTGAACGCTTTAGCCACTAGGCTACCCACTGACTGACCACAACAGGAATGGGAGGATGACTTAGAGAGATGACCCTTTATGGGAGTGATAGCTTCCATAATATCCCACCTTCACGTTACAAGGCGTCCGTTATCAGAGAAATGTCCAGTGTCGAAAAAATGATTCACTTCCCCACATAGAGATTATACGAGGCTGATCGCGGCCGCACAGAGTTCCATATTATGATGAAATTACCAGTTACATTTCATCTATTTCAGGAAATTAATTCCAACTGCATCCTTGAT